TCCAATTCGATCACTTTCTATGCCAAAAATATGTCACAATATAACGGACTATGTAATGGAATTTCTTGTTTTAAACAGGCAGCTGCACCTTCTTTCAGTGTTTTTATCATAACTTTGGATTCCGATGTTCGATTGAGGCGATTCAAAATGCGTTGGAAAGCTAACTCATCTGGCTACAACTTTGATTCAGACATCATTCTCCAATTCGATCACTTTCTATGCCAAAAATAGGTCTCAATATGAGACTAAAACATCGGAGCATAACTTTTCGGTTGGAAATTGATTTGTGATCATCTTTTGACTAAATTTGATTCCATTGACGTCTTCCTTTATCCAATTGACTCCGAGCACTCTTAAATCTTCATCGTGAGGTTTGACACAATTTTTAAGTATTTACATTTTAGTCCCCAAACTTTGAATCCCTTACAATTTTGTCATTTCTCCAAATTTGTCAACTTTTGCTTATTTTCTTCGATCTCACCAACTTACATCACAACATCAAAATCACACATCTAATTATTTATTAATTACATAAACATTACACCATTAATTATTTAATTAACCAAAAAAGTTACATATTTATTAATAACAAATTAATTCTTAAACAAAACTATTAAATATAAACTACGCAAACGTGCATTGCACGTTGCTTACACCTAGTATACAATAAAATTGCAAATAGAGTTGATGCAAGAGACAAAATACAGAGTATAGAGAATCGATAATTCTTTTTTAAATAAATACCTACATTGAGAGTGACATATAAATAATGATTTTATTAGGCGTTTTTTCTAATTCATAAGCAGGTACCCACTTAGGGTCCGTTTGATCGTAAATGTGGAATTTGAGTGGAAATAAAATGAATTATAGGGAATTGAATTGTTTAGAATTTATTTTGTTGGGAATTGTAATTAATCGTGTTTGACTAGTATAGTTTGGTGTCCGTTTGATTTTGTTGTTCAAGGAAATTATCCATTAAAGTGATAATTTTTTTTACCATTAGATTTAGAATTTATTCCAATTGCCAAAAAAAAAATAAAAAAAATTACCATACGAAATCCATTCGTTTGGCCTTGTTTTTCATGAAAATTGTCAATTAAAGGGATATAATTTGTTACAATTGAGAATAAAATTCATTCCAATTGCCAAAAAAAAAAAAAGGTAGCTTGGAAAAGGTGAGAATTGGTTTTCAAGGAAAACAAAGAAAAACCAAAAATTGGGTGAAAAATGAGGTCAGAGTGGAAATTGAATTCCATAGAAAATTTAGCCTGCAAAACAGTCTAAAAGTGAAAAATGGAAAATAAATTCCAACTTCTCTAGAAAATTTCGTGCTATCAAACAGACCCTTAGGGTTTTATTTTTGGGAACAATACATTTGTAAGGTATTTGCTTTACACCATTTCAAAAATACAAAAACAAGTTTTCAAATTTCACAAATCAGGTTTTTTTATTTTTTATTTATGAAATAATGAATTAAATCAATTTATTATTAAATATTTAATTCTAATATAATATAATTACATCACCCCACCTCCACCACCTAGGAATGGCAACGGTTCGGTTCGGGGTCGGTTCGGCCAAAACCATAACCGCACCACCAAATTTTTTGCCATACCATAACCGCACCATAATCACG